TGATTAATTTGATATTGAGTGGACTGTAATTATAAATTTCATCACCATAAGAAGCTGTGAATAAACCACTATTTAATTTATGACATATATTGAACTACGCTCTACAACCTTCTTCTTGCTTATTACATTTGCTAACTCGCTTATTATTATATGTTACAGGTCTAGCTGGGCATTAACTCGTTAATCCGTTAATCGTTAATTAACGAAGTTAACATTATGATTAACGGATTAACTTTTAAGTTAACCTTTTAAAAATGTTACGGACACTTTAACTTCCGTTAAAATGCGAGGAGTCTGTTAATCGTTAATCCCATGCCTACTATTTACCGCACGGCGCAGCTTTAGCCAATGCCTTATTAAATGGCATAGAGAAAAGATTTGGACCACTCCTGAATGATGAACGTGCCAACTTGCCGCGGCATTTCACAAAGTTTCGGTTAATGTGGCTGGAAACGTATGACAGCATTAGAGAGGAATGCAGTAAGAAAATGCACGGAAAAAAAGGTATAAGATGCCTTATGGCAATAAGCAGCAAAAAATTCGAAGGACTGAGATAGTTTAAGTGGCTCGATGACGAGAGGAAGACTTTTCAATTCTGTCACTCAGTCTATAGAAAAACCAAAGAGCTACAAACTCTTTAAGGAACTAGCTGTAAGTGGAATTCTGTCTTAAGGCAATTAAGGCGTTGTGCCTTAAGGCAATTGCTGGTACTTTCCGTACCTAAAATTATTATTTTTTTAAAAACGATTGACATTTTTGAAAAAAATTTACTTCGAAAAAATAGATTTTTGAGAAACTATAAACTATTGGACAAAAAATTAATTTTTTTTTGAAAAAAAAATGTTTTCTTTATTTTGACATATTTTGGAAGATCTGAACTTTTTTTCAAAGCAATTTTACTGCTTTAGGACTGCATAGAGACATAATATAAAGGCCGCGCGTCGTTCTAAAGGGATAAACATTGGTTCGGAACCATAGGAATGTAAATAAAATTTATACTTATTGTTTAAAATCTCTATAAAATATCTAATAATTTGATGTGCATATGTCTAATGATCATTTTGACCGCCAAATGGCATTTTTTTTACTTTTTTCATTAGATCTCCGAACCGCTAGACCTGCCTTCATGAAAAATTGATCAGTTTCTCATAATTGTCAATACAAGTAAATGTTTTTGAATTATTCAAATTGGACGCTCCGTTCTCTTAAAAACTGAGTTACCGTTTTTGGTCAATTTGCCCCATATCTTCGGAACGGCTAGACCTGCCTTTGCCAAAAACTAATCAGCACGTCTTCTTATCAATACGAATCGAATGTTTTTTGATTATTCAAATCGGTTGATCCGTGTTCCCGAAATCGTCGACGAAATTTGTATCCATACACATACATTACCACACACATACATTCATTTTTTCTAAGGTATGCCAATTTCGATTTTTTTGCGATTACTATAACTTGCCCTACGGGAAGTTAAAAAACTCTTTCCCTTTATTTTAGAAAAAAATTCTTGTAAAAACAATATGCAATCATAAAAACGGAAAGTTGACCAATAGCGTTATCACGGTATGTGATAATTGTGCCATTTTCCTTATACACAGGAAGTGTGCATAAAACGCGCGAGGGGTTAAATTACACATTGATTATACAAGTATTTTGTTTTATTCGTAACCTGTTAACTTCCAGAACCTAAACTAACTAGCTGTAACTGGAATTCTGTCTTAAGGCATTTAAGGCATCGTGCCTTAAGGCAAATTGCTGGAACTTCCCGTACCAAAAATTATTTTTTTAAAAACAATTAACATTTTTGAAAAAAAATTACTTTGAAAGAATAAGATTTTTGAGAAACTATAAATTGGACAAAAAATAACTTTTTTTTTGAAAAAAAAATTAAAAAAAAAAGATTTTTTTTTAATTTTTTTTTTTTGTAAAAAAATATTTTTTTTTCTTTATTTTGACATATTGTGGAAGATCTGAACTTTTTTTCAAAGCAATCGTACTGCTTTAACTGTATAGGGACAAAATATAAAGCGCGTAAGCGCCGCGTCGCTGTCTAACGCATAAGCATTGGTACGGAACCCATAGGAATGTTAACAAAATGTATACTCATTGTTAAAATCTCTATAAAATATCTGATAATTTGATGTGCATATGCCTAATGATCATTTTTGACCGTCAAATGGCTCATTTTTTTACTTTTTCTTCCATATCTCCGAAACCGCTAGACCTACCTTTATGAAAATTTTATCGATCCTTCATCTTGTCAATAGAAGTGAAATGTTTTTGAATTATTCAACCGGACGCTCCGTTCTCTTAAAAACTGAGTTACCGTTTTCGGCACTTTTGCCCCGTATCTTCGGAACGGCTAGACCTGCCTTCTCTAAAAACTAATCAGCACGTCTCCTTATCAATAAATCGAATGTTTTTTGAATTATTCAAATCGGTTGATCCGTGTTCCCGAAATCGTCGACGAAAATTTGTATCCGCACATACATACACACACGTACATACATACACACACATACACACACACACACACACACATACATCCATTTTTTCTAAGGTATGCCAAAATGTTCAGAAACCTCTGAAACGTAAAAATATATAAAAAATTTCATTTTTGATTTTTTTGCGATTACTATAACTTGCCCTACGAGAAGTTAATAAGTTTTTTAAGTTCACTAACGCAACGATATAAAAATGTAATTTTACACATATTAACGGATTAACGATTAACGTTAACTTGCGTTAATTCTTCCGAAATGTAACGCTTTAACGTTTAACGAAGTTAACTTTTTTGTAGCGGATTAACGATTAACGAAGTTAACTATTTGATTAACGGTGCCCAGCTATGTTACAGGTATTTATACTCATATAATTGTACCCCCTACCCCGAAGGGTCCCGGTTAAATAAAAGCCCTGGTCAAATCTTGACCACAATTTATTAAATACAATACTGCTATACCCTCAAGTGCTGCAGTTGAACGTTTGTTTTCCACGGGTAAAGACATTTGACACCAAAACGAGCCTCGCTTTCAGACGAGAACTTCAACATGTTAATGTTCATGAAGAGAAATATGCACCTAATACCCGACGCTTAACCCGTCGCGCGTTTCCTATTTTTCGCAAAAAAACTCTTTCCCTTTATTTAGAAAACAATTCTTGTAAAAACAATATGCAATCATAAAAACAGAAAGTTGACCAATAGCGTTATTATCACGGTGTGTGCATAAAGCGCGTCGCGCCATTAAGGGGTTGAATTACACATTTGAATTATACAAGTATTTTGTTTTATTCATAACCTGTTAACTTCCAGGACCTAAACCAATAAGTTTTTCAAGTTCACTAATGCAACAATATAAAAATGTAATTTTACACATATTAACGGATTAACGATTACGTTAACTTGCGTTAATTATTCCGAAATGTAACGCTTTAACGTTTAACGAAGCTAACTTTTTTTGTAGCGGATTAACGATTAACGAAGTTAACTTTTTGATTAACGGTACCCAGCTATGCTTTTAATGTATAAAAAACATTGAAATCTTAAGTTTTTTTATATATTAGTCACAAGCTTATACGGCGAATAAAAATAATCAATAATAATAATTATTCCACCTACAATAAAATGAAATTTTGAATAACAGAAAAAAATGTACAGATTTCGAATGATATAATTTAAAATAGTCCAAAGAGCCGCACTGGTAGGCAATGGAAAATGAAAATTTACAACTTTTCACGCACTGACAAATAATTTTTTACATTATTTGTTATGAACAACATAGATAAGATCAGTGTTGATAGAATGACGTTAACATTTTTTTTATATATTTTATATTTCCGACAAAAGTGAGTTTGAAAAAAGGGGCCACTTTCACATGTTTTCACTGATATATCGGCAAATGTTGAGATAGGGAGTTGAAAATTGATATATTGTATTAATTTTTTCGAAAAGACCTATAAAATGGCGTCAAAATCATTTAAATACTAGGGTGGGGCCGATTCTTTGCTACACGCCCATACCCTTTAATGTTTCCATTTCTTTCAATTTAGCTATAATTAAACAATTCTGAAATCCCTACCATCTTTTCTTTTGCCAATTTTGATGTCATTTTCCTGTTTACCAATATTCCTTGGGATCTTGCTTTACAGGCTTTTGGTGATCTCGATGAGGACTAGCTTTATCAATTTTCGCGACAATTAGCCAAGCCATTTCTTTGTAAATAGCAGAAAAGTGAAAATTTGTTTGTCCAATTCTGCATCAATTTCGAAAGCCTTCGAACGATATTGGTTGGGAATCGACCTGATTAGTTTTTGGCCGGGCCGTTCTCTTGTAATAAAGTGTTAAAGAAACAATTTCTACGATTTTTATTATTATTTTTTTTTGACGGTAAAAATTATATATTTCATCGACGTTTGCATAAAACGCCTGAACCGATTTCAGAAATTTAAAAGCCATTTGATGTATCTCGATGAGAACTATCGTTGTCTGTTTTGCGCGACCATCTGCCAAGCCGTTTTTTTGTAATTTGGAAAAAACTTTTCATCCACATTTAAGCTCATACTACCGAATCGATTTTAAAAAATCAAAAACTATTCGAAAGATATTAGTTAGGAATGATACTGATTAGCTTTAGGTGAAAACCTACCGAGCCGTTTTCTTGTAATTAACTGTTGGAAAAAAATTTTAAGACGCTTTTCATGGAATTTTTTTTGTCGATATATATCATGGTTTTATAGAACTTACTGAAATATTACGGCGTTACGACAAGTAGTTTAATTTTAAAAATTAATCAGAGTTTGAGAAAATGAGTAGTTTTTTGACGTTTGTTAAAATTAAAATTAAACGATTTAATTGGTATAACGATAGAGTGTTTGTTCATTTTCAATGATGTGTGAT